CACAAAAAGAGTATCGTTTCTTTTAATCAAAAGAAAAAATATTCCTAATCCATTACTGTGCAGGGTGAATAGAATATCAGAAATATTCACTGTTATGGTGAATGTAGAGCACTAGACTTCCCCCTATAATTGAATAGGATAAACGAAAATGACCTATATTATCAGCGAGATTATGCTATGTAGTGGCGTTATCAGTTTACTGAAGAAAAGGTTCACACGTAGGTATTATTTTCTGTGAGCGTCAGTAACCTACGCATATAAACTATAGATAGCTTGCGAGACAAAATTTGTCGTTTTGTTGCAAATACTCTGAGGTTCAAATTTGGCTGACGTCGTAATGCGTACGAGAGAGGAGCGCGAGGAGCATGTTAGAAAGAGTGCATCAGTGGCAACTCAAGGAGCCTCAGCTGCGTCCGTGACCTCGTCACCCGGGTTGCTAAGCATCGAGGTGCTTATATCTCTTTCTAGCACACGTATTGCATGCTTCTCGCGCTTCTCTCTCGTACACATTACGACGATAGTGGCTTATGGATTTCACTGAATACGCTCCATATGCTCAGAGAGGTTCGCCAACTTTTTTTTAACATGTATGTACTCAGTAATTGCATAAAACTTCCAATATCTACAGTTATATTTTTCCATATTATTTTACTTTCCACGCCAATTAACGAGGAACTATTGCGACCGCTAAAAATTTAGAAAACGACATGTTTGTTGATCCATGTCAATCTATCTGTCTGATCGCTAATCCTTGACACATCTATGACTTAGAAAGTGTGGTTTGGACCTTTGTAGGTTTTGGAAATCGATCCAGTAGCGGTCGACATACTGACAAGAGACGAAAAATATCGCTCAGTATATTATCTGACGTTACCCTACTGAACGGGGCCGTGGCAAATGCTTGTTCCAGAAGTTGTTATATCCAGTATACAACTTCTTCTCGTTCAAGTGATTTTACACGCGTAAGGAATACATCAGTACCGATTTCCGGGTGGCGGTACAAGTCTGCCAACGGGCCACTTTAGGTCTATTTAATATCATTAACACACAAAAAGAAGGTGGTAGACAAGGATCAGTCGGCCGAAGCAGTACCATTCGCTAGTTTTTCGCAGGGTGTCTTATAACTGTCCGCATGTTTCCACACCTAAGCTATGCAGTTGGTTATCTTCCAAAACAAAAAAATGAATGATGATGGATCCCTCGAGTACTAAGAACTCCGGACGTAAACTCACTTCACTTTCGAAATTTCCGGGCGGAGGGTGGACTCGAGGGAACAACATCGAAGATAAAATTTGTTCATCACTACCTACAGTCTAATCGTCTGCACCGATTAACCATCTTAGCTTCCCAAACTACGAGGCGCAGTCTTTCCTGCCCCAGAGATGTTTCTTTGGAATCAGACCGGAAGGACATTATGTGGCTTCGCGTCAACTCTAAAACATCCCCCAAATTCATTTGCTGTCTTTATCGCTCTCCCTCGGACCATAACTGGGATGACCTACTTGAATACCTCGCCATCAAGATCGACTTCCTGAACATCAATCTCCCCGCTTCAGAGGTAGTTCTCCTCGGTGATTGCAATGCTCATAATGAGCTTTGGTTGGGCTCAAACAAGACCGATGCAGCTGGCCCAGCTGGTGACAAGTCCTACTTTTTTCCCCGCGTCTCGTCCCATGCCAGTAGCCTCCTGGATCTCTTTCTGACCACGCATCCTGTCCTTTGCAGCACTGCTGTCCTGTTCCTCCTGGGTAACTCAGACCACGGTGTTGTGGAGGTTAGGTTTCGGTCAGAACCCGCTGTGGCAGCAGATACTCGCCCAGGCCGTAAAATTTGGCATTACGAACATGCCCACTGAGAGGGGCTCAGAGACGTTTTCTCTACCTTTCCTTGGAGAGATATCTGTTTCGCTAACACGGATGCGTCGGCTGTCTGTTCTTCGATAACCGAAATTATCCACGTCGGAATGGAGGAATACATCCCTCACACAGGCATAAGACTGTAAGACGAGTGCTCTTGTCGCTCGACATCAGCAAAGCTTCTGGTCCGGACTTGATTCCTGGCATTGTACTGAAGAGGTGTGCAGCGTAGCTTGCTCCAGTTCTTTCGCGCCTTTTCCAGATGTCTTATGAATCCGGCACCTTCCCAGAAAACTGAAAATTTGCCCATGTCCAACCCATACCAAAAAAAGGATCTAAGACCGACCCTTACAATTACAGGCCTATAGCTCTGCTTTCTGTTATAAGTAAGGTGATGGAGAGGTGCATAAACCGCGAACTTCTCGACTACCTCACAGGTTGATTAGCGACAGGCAGTATGGTTTCCGGTACCAACGATCCACAATAGACCTCCCAGCCTACGTCACGCAATTGTGGAGTAAACGCATCCAGTCTTGTGGTGAGGCTCATGTCGTTGCTCTTGACATCTCGAAAGCGTTCGATCAGCTGTGGCACGCTGCCCTATTAAGCAAACTTCCACCCTATGGCCTCCCCGAAAAGCTTTGCAGATGGATGGCTGACTTTATCCGTCATAATTGACGGGTTCTCCTCTTCATCCCACAACGTCAACGCGGATGTTCTTCAGGGATAGGTCTTGGCTCCGACACTGTTTCTCTTACATATCAACGACTTCCTTTCCTGCACGATCAACCCAATCCACAGCTTCGCTGATGACAGCACTCTACATGCAGGAATTCAAAGCGACAAGCCGATCTCCGCCGCTGAGCTGGAAAAAAGAAGACTAGCGACGACTTCATCTCTGACGAGAGACCTGGAGGTTATCACTGCTTGGGGACGCAACAATCTTGTATAGTTTAATGCCAAAACACAGTGCTGTACCCAGTGCTCATCCGGTTTCGATGGATGGCCGAGTTCTGCCAAAGAGCCATTCATTTCGGCTAGTCGGAGTCCAGATCGCCGAAGACCTGATCTGGCACGAACACGTCTCGTCAATAGCGGCAGCTGCTGAGAAAAAGCTGAGCTATTTGTTTAGGGCTAAGATGTACTTTTCTCCGCATGACCTTCTCACTCTATGCAAGGCCCAGATACGGCCTCGCCTCGAGTATTGCACACACGTTTGGGGTGCTGCCGTCCCGACTACATTATTTATGCTCGATGCTGTCAAGAGGAGGGCTGTCCGACTGATCGATGACTCTTCTCTAACAGAGAGTCTCGGTACCTTTTCGCACCGGTGGGCCGTCGGCGATCTAGCTCTCTTCTACACCTACACCAACGGGCTTTGCTCCTCAGAGCTCTCTTCCATGATGCCGCCGCGCTATATGCCTGACAGACAGACCCGCCTGACTTTGGCCTCCCATCCTAATCGTGTTGAACTTCGTACATCCAGAACTGGCCGATACGACCGCTCCTTAGTCCCGAGGGTGTAGAGATTGTGGAAAAACCCACTAGAGGAAGCTTTTCCCAATTCTACTAACCTTAGGCAGTTCAAAAATCGGATTGACAAAATTTCTTTTGAATATAAAAAAAAACTCCTGCTGATTTTCGGAAATCATTTTGACTGGGAAATATGAGGGTTGTGGGGTTGCCCTAGATTGATAAGGCTATCTCTCAATTACTTTGTGCTAATATACGCTTCTATCTTCAGTAATTATTCACCTAGCAGGTATTATCCTGCACAACAAAAATAGAATATAAACGTGTAGAGAAGTAGATGGCTGCAGCTACGCTGGCGGTTTTCCCATCGCAATTCTGATCGCATCGTTGTCGTTGCATGTCATATGGGATTGGACTGCGGACTAATTATACAGGGTGTTTCAAATTCGACCCTCAGCATTGGTATCTCGAAAACTGTAACAGATACGATGTCGCTTAAGTGGGGGCTGAGTTGCGTGTTTAGGTTGTCAACAAAATGCCGCTTACAAAATCTCGAAGTTCAAAGTACTTCCTGAGACGTAAAAAAACTGAATTTTCCTAAAATCGTTATAAATTGCACATTAATATTCCTACTTTTTCTTCTGTACAAGATGGTATAATTGGAACTTCAATATGATGTCTCATCTCTCGCCCTCCAGCATCAACTTTATTTTTTCTTATGGACGCCATATTGGATTTTTGCGCATATGAATAAAGTTTTGTTATTCTGATTTCAAAAATGTATAATATGTCATACATGGACCTTGCCAAATCTTAGTTATTCCAGAAAAGGGAAATTCCTAAGTAGGCCGTGAAGTTATAAGACTTCATTTGTTTTGCATAGTTGACCAGACCTCAAATAGAACATATCAATAGAGTTTGGAAGACTGAGAAGAGAAATAAATCGAGCAGTGAACAATGTACAGAGAAGAGTCAGACTTTGCCTACAAAATAACAGACAAAAAATACCTCTAATTGAAAAGTTGACTTCTCCATCTTGTAGAGAAGAAAACATGGCAATAACAATATGCAATTTATTTTGAAATCCCGTCTCAAGTAAAGTCAGAAAAAATAAAAGTGATTTTGGGATAATTCAGGTATGCGAAACAAATAACTATCTGATAATTTCAAGGCCTGCCAAGGAAATTCGGCTTTTTTGAAACAACTACGGTTTGGCAATGTCAATGTGTCACGTATTATATTAAATCAGAATTAAAAACTCTATTCATCTGTGCAATACGGCGTCCGTAAGAAAAAATTAAGTTGATGCTGGAGGACAAGAGTCGAGACGTCATATTGAAATTCTAATTCAAGCATCTTGTAGAGGAGAAAGAATGGCGATGTTAATGTGCAATTTATTTTGGAGTCCCAATACAAATGAAAGAATTAAAATGATATTAGGAAAATTCGTTTTTATCCGTCTCTCTTAGGAAGTACTTTGAATTTCAAAACTTTCTAAGCCGCAACTTGTTTGTTACCTAATGATGAGGGTCGAATTCTAAACACCCTCTATAGGCCTATTTGACTGACTTGATCTATTTAGTGTAGCACAGAGTCAACCTACTTGACGCCATTTTTTGTTTTATTCCGTTATCAGTTTTAATCCATCATAAAATATCCGTTATATGACAGGTATGCGATATGGCGGCACAGTAGCCCAAATAATCCCAGGAGGCTATGCAACAGTGGGCGCAGCTGCTTTCAGCGGCGCCGTCACCCACACCATTTCAGTGTCTGTGATTGTCTTCGAAATGACTGGACAAATTACGCATATAATCCCCATCATGATTGCAGTTCTTATTTCGAATGCTGTTGCTAGTCTGCTAGGCCCCAGTTTGTACGATAGCATCATTTTGATCAAGAAGCTGCCTTACCTACCGGATTTGTTGCCCAGCAGTAGCGGTGAGTTCCATTAACTCAATATACATTTTTCGCGACTATTGGTCAAGTAATAAGATACAAAAATCATCAATCAATCAAAACAGTCCATGAGTTGCTATAATCCTTAAAAGATCAGTGTCTATAAGCGAAGTTTTGGGCCCTGAAAATAGGTAACTCAAATTTCAAGTTGACGCATCTATGGAATTTTTGCATTTAAATATTTTAGAATACATTTAATTTGAACCTTCATAAACATTTTTCTTTTTATTTTGGTGCTTCCTATCTACAACCGTTTACGAGTTCCCAATAGTGAGAGTCAAATTTGAAGCACCCGACCCAGTATGTGCCCTCAACTTTTGTCAACATTTTTTTTCTTCTAATACTTGATTGTTTTTCAAAATTGACCCATTTTCATATGAGTGCCACACTTTCTGTTTAAAATCTATACTAAAACGCACAGAGATACAAAATATGTATAAAAGTAAAAGTGTCGCTCCACTGTGCTTGCATCAGAAACAATGGTTGAAGCAAATCAATGTACACAACATATAATGAGATTTCAGCTTTTGTTTTCAGAGTGAGCGCAGTGGAGCAGCACTTTTTTTCATATATGGTTTTTATCTTATAAGTATATTTAAAATTGTGCAATTTGAGCTTTTAAAAAATAAGCAAGTACTGTAAAAAAAATGTTGACGAACGCTTAACATACCGGGTGTCTCAAATTCGACTCCCGCTATTGGGATTTTGGAAACGGCTGTAGATAAGAAGTTGCTTAAAAGAAGGCAAAGTTGCGTATTAAGGTAACTGGAAAATGACAAAGATTTGCAACTTGTAGTATTTCCAGAGAGAAATACGGAAGAAACCGAATTTTTTTCCTAACTTTATTTAAGATGGGAACTCTAACTGCAAGTTGCACATTAGCATTGTTACTGTAACTTATCTACACGGTGGAATAATTAGAATTTCAATATGAAATTTTGTCTTTTATCTCCAATCATCAACTTTATTCTTTCTTATAGACACCACATTGGATTTTTGCACAAGTTATTAGAGTTTTTAATTTTGATTCAAAAAATGTATATGTCATTTGGTTATTTAAAAAATCATGATTTCTCAAGCAGGGCTTGAAATGATCGCATAGTCAATTGTTTCTTAATATCATTAACCAAGGTTTCGTTCAGTTTTTTTGAACTAAGCATATGTCAACAGTCCTTATTATATATTGTACGTACCATGACATTGATATTATAAAATTTGAATGTCTGAAAAAGTAATCGTTCTACAGTTGGTATTAATTCATCAAAATAAAGAATAACATAACGTAACATTTTAGAGTAAATAAAGACCTCAACGATGTTGATGCCTCTAAAAACGTTTCTTAACCGCTATATCTCGTCTTACATTCAAATAATATTAACTTACGGCTGAGATCTCATATAGATTAATAAAATTGATTAATATAACGCTTGTTATAGATTAAATGGGTAAAATATTTTAATATCTCTTACACGCTTCTCAAAAATCGAATCACTGATCATTTAATCGGATAACCATGGTAATATTAGTCTTTTGAAATAACTTAGTTTTGACAATGTCAATATATTATGACACTATATACATTTTGGAATAAGAATTAAAAACTTCACTAATTTATATAAAAATCCAATATCGGGTCCATAAGAAAAAGTAATGTTGTTGTAGATGAAAATTAGTGACAATGTTAATGTGCAATTTATTTTAAAATCTCACTTCAGGTAAACATAAAAACGATTTTGAAAAAATTCCTCTTTTCCGGCTCTCATAATATTTAAAAGAGCAAGTACATTTTCTCAAAATAACTTACAAATCTTTGAATCAACAAATTTAACATATTCGTCACCTGCCATGCAACACAGTAGGGTATGAAAGTCTAACCTTGCAATTTTGCCGTAGGGCTCCATCGTAGGGCCGTTGCTTTGGAACGTGTTCTACGATGGGCTTTTTCGGTTACAGATGCTGCCGGGAATTCGCTTGTATAACAAGGAGGGAGACACACTTGAATGACTCTTGGCATACGGAATCACGAGAATTATCACATGGGTGGAAGAAAATAGCTTGAAATTGGCTCCTGAGAAGACGGAAGTAGTTATACTTTCTGGCAGGCAGAAGCTAACTTCATTAGCTGTTAAAGTTGATAATTTCGGATAATGCCATCTGAAGGAGGCCCTAGTAGTGAAAGGCGCAGGATTTTGGCATGGGTGGTAAACTCGATTATGCTGTACGGAGCTTTTATATACAACAAGGCCCTGAGGAAAAAGAAATATATACACCAGTATTGAGAAGCCAGCGAAAAGTATTGCTGCGCGTGGTATGGGTTCACAGAACGATGTCGACAGATGCACTGCTGGTGGTGGCTGATATCCCGCCAATTGGTGTGCTGGCTGCGGAGAGATGTCCGCTCTATAAAAAGGGCGTCGAAGCTACAAGCGATGAAAGCGTGGCGCTTTTTGTCAAATGGCAGGAGAGATAGGATGCAACTGGCCATGGTGCATGGACCAGAAGGCTGATCCCAGATATTAAAACTTGGATTGACAAGAGAGCGGTGCAGATAGATTACTATACCGAACAGTTCCTCACAGGACATGGCTGTTTTGACAGCTACCTGAAGAGGGCGAAAGAGAGAGTATGCGAATTGCGTATATTGGAATGAAGAGGAGGAATATTCCTAATCACCTACTCCAATATGGTAGGTGTGTTGACTATCAGACACAGCTCGAACTATCACTCGGTGAGAGGTTCACTGCTGGAAATTTTACCACGCAAATACGCGAGGGAAAATGGGTTGATATTCAACCAGTAGTGAGGCGAATGATGCTGAGTAAGGTACGGGAGAACAAAAATAGACCAAGGAACCAATAGTTCGTTTCTATTTTGTTCGGTTGTACATGTACATAGTTATAGAAGTATTTATGTGTACGATAGAGAATATGAGTTTTAGTGCGAATGCCATTTCTGAAGAATCACATACTTCGGGCAGGAAGGGCGACAAGGCAATACTGTGAAAGCTTTCACCTGTCAAAAAAACCTTGAAATGTATGTATCCTGGGAGCCACACCTTTGTAAGAACCTGGTTCGATGAATACTTGCTCTGCTTGTTGAAATCTACAACAATTTCAATCGTAGATCCTTAGGTTCATTGTTAGAAAACACGTTTAACCAGACACCTAACATGACATTTAGCATCTAACAAAACATAGCATTACTTACTTTTAAGACATATTGGAGTTTTTGCCGCTACATGGAAATATCCTGTTCCTTCTGTATACAAGTGACCTGCCCGCATTGATTTCCTCCACATGTTCAGCTTATGCCGACGACACCAAGATTTACAATACTGTCGTAAATTCTACTATGCTTCAACGAGATCTTGATATTGTTTGTCAATGGTCAGTCAGTTGGCTTTTACCCTTAAATCTAACTAAGTATTGTGTCCTTCACCTCGGGAAGACAAATCCGCGATTTACATACAAGATCTCTTACCACAACATCGAAGCAGTTTCCAGCCACACTGATCTGGGCGTTGTAGTCAACGATCGTCTTTCCTGGTCAGAGCATATTCACCACGTTACATCAAAAGCCAAGAAACTTCTATACATGCTGGAGAGGTCTTTCAAAGGATCCGATGTCAACACTTGCGCCTACATTTACAAGGCATTCGTGAGGCCAATTCTTGAATTCGCTGGCCCGGTATGGGACACTGTGCTTCTGCGCGATAGAAATCTCGTCGAATCAGTACAGCGTCGGGCTACTCGTATCCCTTTTGGAGCACGAAGACCAAGCTATGAAGATCGCCTTGAATTATTCAACCTGACCTCATTCTCTGAGCGAAGACTTCGTGGCGATCTTATAGTTACGTTCAGGATACTTCATGATTTGATGGGCACCAACCTCATGCATCTATACCGTCTGTCGCACAGCAATCTCCGCGGACACAGCTTCAAACTGCATAAGGAGCCATTTAAAACAACAGTCCGACAGTGGTTTCTTCCCAACCGCATATTCAACACCTGGAATAGTTTATCTGAAAGTGTGGTTGGTGCTACTTCAGTTAATAGCTTCAAAGTGCATTATGATAGCTGGAGGAGTGTACAAACTTTATAGCTATGAACTGTCTTTTTTTATTTTTTTTCTGTTTGATGTATTTGTGTTACGTGTCCGTACGCTATATTTACTGCATGAGCTTATAGTACTGTGTACTCTGCTCATCTCAATTATCATAATAATAATAATAATCCTTATATTGGGACTAGCAAATTCCAAAACATAAGGTCTCATTTTCAAGGCATTTTCATCCTCTATAACTTTCCTTCGGTGCCATTTTGCCAATATTGCATAGTTTTTGGCATAAAAACCTTACTCTAAAGATGAGAAACACCTTACCCTACAGAATATATTGTTGTTGATCCGTCAATATAATTTTATTCTGCCATCCTACGTATCCTAATAAGTATTGTCGTTTTTGATAGTTCATCTTATATTCTTGGAAATAAATCGAGATATTGAGGTTGGTTTTTGTTGCATGCAAAAGATAAACAAATTGTACAAAATTGACTTCTCAAACGCTCACATCAGTGGCGTTCGTTCTGACAAATCTATGCTTAGAATTAGTTATCGAACGAAATCGCGTCACTAGATTCTTACAAGAAATTGGTATCAGTATCTTAAAACCGAAATCATTGTAAAGCTCTTCTTTATAGTTTTTTGGATGCACCGTTTTAGAAATAACGATTAGTTGGGCCATCACATCAGGCTGTTTACCGTTGATAAAAACTGTAATACGAGGGATGTCTTTTAAGTTTTGCATATAGAAACATAGTAGGCCGCGCGGATCGAACGTCAGTACTGAATATTAACCTCACTCTTTAGTAAACTTAAATTCAAAGTTTCACAACAATACTGGTGCAGTGTTCTCACTACAGCGAATGTTTAAGTGTCACCAAGTCATTAGAAGGATGGAACTCTACCGAGCACATTTTCGCGCCATAATTTATTACAACTTTCAGAGACAATTACCGCAACAACAATGTCTTGCTGAGTTACTGTCTGTTTTCGGCGACGAAGCGCCACTTCAGTCGACAATTTCCCGTTGGTATGGAGAATTCAAACGTGGACGGGTGAGTCTTAGCGACGATCCCAGGGTGGGCGCACCAAAAACGGCAGTCACCCAGGAAAACGTCGATGCTGTGCGCAAACTCATCATTGAAGATAGACATGTGATATATCGCGAAGTGTTTCGAAAAAGATGGTCGCCGCATTTGTGTCAAAAGCGGGTCATATTGCAACAATTACTCTTAATGAGCAAAGAACTGTTACTGCGGATTGGTATACCACCATTTGTTTGCCAAAGGTCATCACCGAGCTTCGAAAAATCAACCCCGAAAGAAGAATCATCCTCCACCAAGACAATGCAAGCTCGCACACAGCCCAAAAAACAAGGCTTTATTTAACGGAAGAAAAGTGGAATTATTGGACCATCCTCGATATAGTCCCGATCTAAGTCCTAACGATTTCTTTACTTTCCCGAAAATTAAAAACAGACTGCGTGGTCAAAGGTTCCAGTCACCAGAAGAAGCAGTTGACCCATTCAAAAATGCCGTTTTGGATCTGCCAGCAAGCGAGTGGAATAAGTGCTTCGAAAATTGGTTCGAGCGCATGTAGATGTGTATTAATCTTCGTGGAGAATACTTCGAAAAACAATAAAGTCATTTAAAACTACCTACCTTGTTGTTTTATTTCCATATGCAAAACTTAAAAGACATCCCATGTATAACTGGTACTTTTTTTAATATAGATACGAAACGAAAAATTACGAGTATTAGTTGCATTTTTTCGTTAAAGCTGTCGACATGATTGTAACGGGAAATTAGCGGACGCATGTTTTTTCATAATTTTGCGTGTTGTACCTGCGCTTACAATATTCTTTAATATTCTGTACATTATCAATAGTTTATTAGTTAGGTAAGATTCATCACGTGTTTTAACCTTTTGTCTATATGATCTATAAATTGTAAAAAATATATAAATAATACTTTTCAGGAATGTACAATGTCTTTGTCGAAAACTTTATGCTGAGAGACGTGGAGTACATATTCTATGGTATGACTTACAACCAACTGAAACAGCTGCTAAAAGAGAACCGTCATCTACGTACATTTCCGCTGGTCGATAACCCAGAGAGTATGGTGCTCTTAGGGTCGATTCAGAGAATGCAGCTTATACAGCTCATTGAGAAACAGATAGGGAAAGAACGACGGCTTCAGGTAATATCTTTGATTTCGAGTATCTTAATAGATTCAAGCCACAATAAGTGTACATGTATGTTCAACCTGTCAATGAAATGATTATCCATAAGTTAATAATTTAATATTTTGTTAAGTGACAAAATGAAAAAAGAAATAAGAGCGTAACATTGCTTACGCCACTATTAATAATAATAGTAATAATGATGTTTATTGGTCTAACTAAAAAGTTTTCGTATAAATAATAACGGCAGTGTCCAATAAACATAATATGTATACCCAAAAAAGTGTACGTTTGTGCTTGGATTTTAACCGAACTTGAATTATAATAATACAACAAATTCCCTATAAGTATACCAGTCAAACGTATAAATTTGCATCATTTTATTATCACATAACATATTGGTTTTTAATGTCTATAAACTTATGGATTACTAGCCTTGGTTGATTTAGGATCCATAACTTTAATTCAATGTTTAAACGTGTTGAACATTTTATATGTTTAAAGTTTTCAGGAATAATTTCTTTTTGTTCAACATAACCTTCAAAATCCACTTCGGAGTAATTTCAATCTTTTTGTATTAATTTTCATGCCCCCCCCCCCCCCCGGTTATCTTTGAGTACGGTTTACTCTGCAAATATTTTATACACTGTGGCAGCAGTGACGTATCATAAGTTATGCTCTTGCATTTTGGTACTTTTCGATAGGTACAGATATTGTGATCGACAAAATTTTCGAATTTTTCGAATGAGATTATCCGAAGAATCAGTATCAGAATATTTTTCCGATCAGATTCGAAAATACTACATGACTTTTTTAAATTTCGATAAGGCCCAATTTTTGTGTTAAATATGTGAACAGTAATACACAAGAAGTACTTATGGCTCCGATATTTTCAATTTATATGTATTAGAAATGTATATGAATACTCAACACCGGTTTTTTAAGGTGGCTGCGATAAGGCAACGGGAGGCTGAAGAAAAAGCAAGAGCCGAAGCTGTCAGAATAGCTGAAGAAAGAAACAGGAGGAGATCGTCGAGGTTCCAAGTAGTACCAGCTCCCGATGCCCTTCAACGGTATACTTCTGAAACTCAGCTTGATCAGGTAAGATGAGGCAAGAGCGATATACTTATTTTTGCCTTCAATTTAAACATGCAGAATAGTCCATGTTGTGCAGAAGGAGTTGAAAGAAAACAATATGTTTGAAGAAAATGCAGTTCTTCCGTTTAAATTTTGCCAAGACGCTTAAGGCCGTCTGTTACGATACAAAATTTTCTTCATAATTTGGTACTAAATTTCGTGAAAAAATTCGTTACTGAATTTAATTCCCAATTTGTTTGCCAATTACAATCCTGTCTGACACGTAAATAAATTTGTGTACTAAATTGCGAACGAAATGATGCACAGTTGGCGGAAAAATATCTGTCAACTGCCATTCACCACATCAAAGTCATTTTAACCACAATTTCTTTTGCGGCTTGCTACTTTATTAGTTTAAATGAATAGAAAATTGTTCTATCTAATCAAGTAAAATAAATTAGTGCATTTCTTTTTGTGGTATCCACTGTTTTAATCCACACCCAAAAAAACCCAGAAAAACGCTACATTGGTGTCATGTGTGGGGTGTAGATTATTGGACACTTAGTGAAAATAAATCGGACGATCAGTGAAGGAAGAATGGCGCGATTGATTGATTTGAAAATTGCCGATTTAAAGAGAGAGCTGGAGGAAAAAGAGTGCGACACGGCTGGAAAGAAAGCAGAATTACACGAGCGGCTTCATCAAGCAATGATTGAAGAAGGCGAGGACCCCTACATTTTCATTTTTACCGGTGCAGGGTATATTGGCTTAATGCTGCAAAACCTAGAAGGAAAACTCTTGGAGTTACACGAAAGTATAGCCAGATTAGGACAGAAGTTTTTGGAAAATACTGCAAATTTAAAAAAGAATTGGAAGATAAAACTATGGAAAACTCCTGCGAGTTGGAAAAACGGATCTTAGAAACTCTGGATGACAGAATTCAAGAAGTGCAAGACAAGTTTGCCGCTTTAAACGTCAAGACCATCGACGAACGACAGCGTGGACTTCCGTTGTAAAAATCAAGTGAGGTTGGAGCTTCTGTTGGGTGAGCTGGTCATCTGCGAATGAAACTGTCGCAATTTGATGGTACAACGCCTTGGCATGTCTACCGACGTCAGTTTGAGGCAGCCGTGAATGCAAATAGTTGGTTATCGACCGAAAAGGCAACTGCACTCACTTTAGCCCTGTCAAGAGATGCTGCACCTATTCTTCAAACAATATCACCCAAAGAGCAAGAGATCTACGAACAGCTAGTAGGATATTTGGAGATGCGATATGGCCAGTCGCATTTAAAACATGTCTACCATACTCAATTAAAGAATCGGTTCCAGAAGTCAGGCGAGTCCTTGCAGGAATTCGAAACGGATATTACGCGGTTGGTACGATTAGCATATTCCGATGTTCAGGAAAGGATAATGGAGCGATTGGCAGTTCAAGCATTCCTGGATGGACTTCGTGATGGTGAAATGAGGCAAGCCTTATCACAAGCACATCCACCTAAGCTAGTAGGTGCGCTAACTTCGGACATAGAATTCGAAGCCGCTAAAAACACAAATAAAAGCCAGTTCCGAGTCCGCCAGATGGTACCAGGAGAAAACGATTTCGAAGAGACCGTCAATCGCATTGTTAAGGAACTTGATGGTGAACGTCGCCACCAGAACAGCAAGTTGGAATGTTGGAAACGTGGAAAAATATTGCACGTTAGGAGACGCTGTTTAGAGTATGGTAAGCATCGCCAGCGGGCAGAGGAAAAAGATGCCCAAGTATTAAGAACCACTATCGTTAATAATATTTGTCAAACTGAATACCTCATTAAAGACCAACAGGGCGATCCCGATCTCTGAATAATTCTGAACTGGATGAAAGAACGACGGAAACCAGCCTGTGAGGAAGTTGCTAAGTATTCCCCTACCATTAAATCATATTGGGTACAATGGAATTTTCTAGCTATGGACGACAGACTCTTACTGCGTAAAATGATGGACCACGACGGCAAAGAGGAAAGAAGGCAAATCGTTATCCCCAGATGTCGGAACCCCGAGCTGCTAGAAGAAATCCATTCCGGTGTGTCAGGAGGTCATCTCGGAGTTACAAAAACCCTGGGAAAAGTGAGGAAAAGATTTTACTGGGTCAATAGCAAGGAGGACGTAAAAGACTGGTGCAGAAAATGCGTTGTCTGTGCGGCAAGTAATGGACCGGAAAGGAAACCAAAAGCTTCGATGCGCCAATACAACGTGAGGAGCCCCTTTGGAAGGATTACTATTGATGTGGTGGGACCCTTTCCAGAAAGTGAAGCAGGAAATAAATACATCGTTGTGGTAATGGATTACTTCAGCAAGTGGGTTGAGGCTTACATTCTGCCAAATCAGGAAGCCTCTACGGTAGCCGATGCTTTAGTAAAGGAATCGACCTGTCGATTTGGTGTACCTTTAGAGTTGCATTCGGACCACGGGCGCAATTTGGAGTCAAATCTGTTCCAAAGTATCTGTCAAATCCCTGGGATTAAGAAGACCAGGACTACTACCTTTCACCCCCAGTCATATGGAATGGTGGAGCGCATGAATAGGACCACTAACTGGTATTTGGTTAAGGTAGTATCTAGCCATCAAAGAGACTGGGATAGTTTTCCTCACCTCTTCTTTTTGGCTTACCGATCGTCGATTCATGAAAGCACAGAGCCCCGGCTCGAATAGTTATGGGAAAAGAACTTCGTCTCCCATGCGATCTAAAGTTTGGCTGTCTACTAGGAACTGATATTGCCGGAGAAGACTATGTAAGTGAGCTGTGTAGAAGAATGGACGCCATCCATAACCAGGTTCGTGTCTCAATTCAAGGTGCCAGCGACCAGATGAAGGAAGCTTATGAAGTTAATGCCAAAGACCAAAGGTACGACAACGGTGATACGGTTTGGCCTTACGACCCAAAGAGGCGAAAAGGGCTATCGCCTAAACTTCAATCATCCTGGGACGGGCCATATAAGGTTCTTGAGCCCATCAATGATGTTCTCTACAGGATTCAGTAGCCGCCACGCGGTAAAGCCCGAATTGTACATTTCAACCGACTTGCACCTTATCATGGAAACAACCAGAACCGGACATGACATTTGGACAATTTATGGCGCACCATGCTAATGGCCATAAAAGTCGGTATGGCGTGGCATGTGACGTACAGCAAGATCTGTTTACCACTTCACCAGAGTATGCCCTGGCACGCTGTGTCGCTCAAAACTTGCGAATGTCCTGAGGTATAGCAAAGGTCTTTCTCAGGAGGTTTGGAAGAGTGCACGAGCTGCGACAATCTAACCCAGAAGTCGGAGAAGTACTCCAGATAATTGAAAAGGGTACCAACCGAAAGATCGTCTATCTGATTACCAAGAAAGCCTCGTATCAGAAACCGAATTACGAGGATCTCTGGAACGCTTTGTGTTCTCTTAGAGAAGTGTTGCTCGCCAAGGGCCTGAGAAAACTGGCAATACCTAAGCTGGCATGTGGACTGGACAACCTGGACTGGAAAATCTTCCGGTATACGGGTATTCGGTTTCTGGTACGTTGTCACAGTCCTAGACGGCTACCTCCTGGAAAGAGAGTGGATTGTTACTTCTTCAAGAACCCCTACTGCAAGAAAGGGCAGTCGTGCCGATATCGACATCCACCGCCAATAAGATCGGGACGGAATGACTTTAGGGAAGGGGCAGCGCAACAAGAATAAATAGTACCGTTGGCGCCATGTGTTAGGGACAGTGCCAGACTATCCTACTCGCCAGTTGCTTCAAGGCCGATCTCTGTCAAGGACCGTGCCAGTGACTCGCCTTCTAGATCGACGCGAAGTGACCTCGACGATTCTGGAAGGCCGCTATGTGGCTGATCAGAATATTCTCGACCCACGCGGACTATATAACTCGACGGCCGGGAGAGGGAAGCAGAGTACAGTATAGTAGGGTAGAGCAGAGTGGAGTATAGTCCAGTCAATGGCGCGTCACATAAGAATTAGTCAGGCATAAATAGTGGTGTACATAAATGTTTTATCTAGTCAAGTTAAATAAATTTGTTCATTTCTTTTTGTCAAATTCAGTATTTTAATACACACCCAAAAGAACCCAGAAAAACACTACAAAATTATTTTATTCCGAGATGAGCTAATGAGCAGTTTGTGTAAACCAGCAGTCAAAAATGTTTGTCCAAAACGAAGCGACGGAGTATTGATGATTATTTATTTATGACAAAGCAGCATTTGTAATTGTGGAAGGCTATCAGTATAAATTTACAATAAACGGAAAAATATCAACGTTTGTTTGAACACTTAAAGTAGACGAAATTAAGGAAACCAGACGAAAAAAGCAGTAACATTTCTTTCAAATGATGCTATTTTGGTATCAAAACAACTTGCCCCCCGTTACATGTTAAGACCACATGAGCATTTACTGAAGGTGTTAAGAAACGCTTTTATTCCTTTTCACATAAATCATCATAGGAGGGGGCAGTCCTTGGAATATGATGACAATTTCGCAAATTTGAACATCAGTGTCTGTAACCTAGCGTTCCGAGGCGTACATACCCTTAATCCCGGGTTTCTATTGCATTTTTTGGTCCGCGATGCAAATCCCATCCGTATCGGACAATTTTTTTTTTTGATTCTCTGTTGAATTATTTTATTGTGACCTATTTCAAAATCAACGAGTATGAATATTTATTAGCTTATAGCATTTGGTGTTTATCTTTTTTGAAGAAATTGGTGTAATTTGTTCTACAAATCCGCTGTTCAACAGTCCTAGCGGCGACAGATATGCGTTCAGTCGTAAACATTATAATATTGCGATTTGATCTTGAGTAGTTTGTGTGAACCAATAACAAAAAATGAGCATGTTTGTTCAAAATTGATGTTTATTGATCTATGAAAAAACAACAAATGCTTTATTTTCTTCCTAAAATGGCTTAAATAATACATCAATGGCAAATATACATTTACTTCTAGGAGAACAGTGTCCGAAAAATTAAAAAGTATAAAATTATTTTATCTCATTTATCAGGTTACGATATAATGAGGTAACCAAGGACGGATTTAGGATTTCGTCTAGGAGGGGGCGCAAACGATTTTTCAACCTCAGTGGAACTTCTATAATTCATCCTATTATTGCTCCTCAAATCCATTGTGTTCTATCTGGTCAATGCCAGCTTAAAAAAAACATGGAAAATGCTCAGTAATCCTCAGAAAGGCAATATTTTATTATATGAGAACAGCAGCAGCGGTGACCGCGGTAGTAGACTCTTCGGTCTCCTGATCAGTCGCCGTGCGCTGTGCGGGTTCGAATCCCATCCCAGGAGAAATTTTTCTCTTGGTTATGGATGTTGTGATTGTCCGTAGGTAGTAGACGGTCTCTGACTGCCGAACGCGGAGGTACCACCAGGCGGATCTCGTAGGCGGAGCCAGAATGTGTGCATGTTGCATGCACACATGTTCCCTCGCCAGAGTCCGTGTGGCGTCCCCCCCCCTTTCCCCTGTATCCCCCTATATCCCCACGGTACCCCATGGGTGTTAAGGCCTTCGTGGTGGTTGGAGTAGGTAGGCTTAATATGCCCAGGCCACGGAATGTAATCGATCCCGGATGTGAAGCATGCATTGTAGTATTGATTTTCGTGAAAAAAAAGTGGTGTTTAATATGCCCCGGCCACGGAATGTAATAGATAGTGTGATAACACTGACAACACACAATGTATATAATTATGTGTAGATACTATAACACCGATTTACATGGAAAGAGTGAGTAACTGAACAAATGCGCTACGATATTCGAAATATGTACATACGTACGTTACTATACACATTTTGAAACAAAAGGGATATGTCTATCATCTTTTATTGCGAACTGCTCACGAATACGAAATGTTTGAATTTGTTTAGAAGAAAAAACATACCCCATCCTTGCATAAAAATAAAATTTATCTTCCGGACTGGTTTGCGATTCATATCGGCAAGGTAAACTAGTGAATTTTGCTATAAAATACCCTTTGAACTAACCCTGTATACTGCTCAATAAACTAGTAGTGATGGCCGGAAAACAAGTGTTTTGGGATAAACAATTAGAAATTCTCAAAAAAACGTCTTGACGAATTTACTCCAATTTTGTTATGATTATTTAGAAGTACGAATCCTACGAATATGAAGAATCTCAAATATCTGCGAGAAACCATCGTCGCATTACCAACAAGTGCCAAAACCTGCCTCGGTTTTCGGCCATAGGTTTTTTGCTATTAGTCGGAAATTTTAACGTGTGGTCTCATTTTGAAGGTCTCATAAATACCTTAAAAATCTTATGAAGAGTTTTTTGTTTCTGCCAATACTTTCGATTGAATCCCAAAAAACACGTTTTCTCATTCTTTATTGTCGAATAAAATAAAAAGTTTTCCCACAAAAATTGGTGTATCCATTTTATGCATCCATGTTTTCAATACACCCTTGAACAATTTGCAGCAATAAAACCAGACTTTACAATTATTTCGCGAACCAGGGGTATTTTCATCTAATATGATTAGACTTCGCTGCAACACCAACCCCGAACATAATCAGTCAAGCTTCACACACTTTTCAAATTACTACTGAGCAACAAACAGAACATAAATCACTTTTTAAGTGCAATCTAATATACTTCTCAGACTTAGATTTGTCACGAGTCACAATACGCGAATATACGTATAAATCGTAAGAATTGTGCTGTAATCGTAGGTGATGTCGAAGAGGGACAGCTTTTGGAATACCAAAGGATATCATTCAGTTCCTACAGCTATAACTCATAGTTAGTATGTCTCTGTCGCCATGATGTGTCGGAAAGCAACACAACGGTGTTAGATTACAAAAGCAAGAGTCAGACGTCTAGGGGGGCGCGCGCCCCCCGTGCCCCCTCTAAATCCGCCACTGGAGGTAACATGGGAATATAGATTGGAAACTGGCAAACCTAATGATCATTGCTCTATATTTACCGATCTATTGTAAGCTTGAAATACAAAATCGTTAAAACGTAATTTAATACTTTGCATGCATAATTATGATTTTACATTAAATGACAAATTGGTGCAAAAGTGGCAAAATTGTCAACTATGAACCCAGCCAAATCCAAATATTATCCAAAAGCCCTGACAATTTTGGCTACCTATTGTAAATCAGTTATTCTAACCAGGTTTAGCTTTTGGATAATGAGCGGCGCCACTAATGCACCATTCGGATTTATTAAACAAAAAGTAGTTTTAGTAATTGGATGATCGATGGCGCCACCCGTTCCGTTATTCGGATTTGTGGAACAATTTATACCAATTTCTTCAAAAAATCTGAACATCAAATGCTATAAACTAATAAATATTCACACGAGTTGATTTTCAAATAGGTCAGAATAAAATTATTTAAAAGATAAACAAAAAAAAAGTCGGGTACGCGTGACCAAGGGTACGTACGCCTCGGGACGCTAGGCTACAGACACTGATGATCAAATTTGCATAATGTCATATTCCAATGACCGGAGTCTCAAAATGAAATGTGGAGGCAAATTCCATGATACCATCTTAGCATCATTTTAAAGAAATGTTATTGCTATAAAATGGGAAGCGGTAAAGAGGTGTTTTCGCCTGGTTCCTTCGGTTCTTCTATATAAATATATCAAACAAAAGTAAATATTTTTCCGTTTATTGTAAATACTAATAGCCTTCCACCATTACAAATTTGTTCTGAAGCTTTTTTGTAAATAAATAAGCATAACTCCGTCGCTCCGCGCTTACGATTGCAACGCATATCTGCTGCATCTAGCATGGTACGCGGCAACACCACCTAGGACTAGTCGTTACGGAACGCTGAAACCCACATCGTTGTACTTGGTTCTTGAGTCATTCTGATTTTATCCAACGCAGCTTTGGCTTTTCTGTTTTTATCGGTCTTGCTTTTTACAGTATATAAACAATCATATTTCTCATACTCGTTTACAAGCTCTTTTGATCATGACATCTTTCAAGTTTTCAATCTATAAGTAGAACAGCATACCCAGGGGAGATTTGCGAAACTGATACATCCGGATACGGGTGTAATCTGAGTAAACGAAGATGGAGAGGGAAAAAATTACGCACGAAGTCCACAACAAGAGCCAACCTACACATTGTAGCATAAAGTGCTGTGGCCATAACCGACCGCGTGGTTGTGGTTAGATGTCGCCTTGAAAATTCGAGGTCTTCTAGCCCTTTTATACTAGAATATGTAGGTTCGAGTTAACTATTCTATTTTCTGCTTGAATGAACTTTCCTTCTTTTTGCAAATTTTGCCCATACTTTTCTTTATTTTTGTTTTTGTTATATAAGTGTATATATATACAGGGTGACTTTGAAGTTGAGTCATTAATTTTCAGATAATGATTGTAGAAGGGAGATAAACCAAAATATGTGTGTAAAAATAAAAAAAAAATAAAAAAAAAATGTTACCTTGTTTTATAAAGTATCCTCCCGACAAGTATTTCAGTGCGGACCTGTATTTGATCGTGCGGTCTTGGAGCACCGGCATGCCCTCCCCTGTGAGGTCTTAAGTCACCTGATTCACGAGCCCTTTGTACTACATTAACAAAGGCACGAGGGATTGGTTGCACTCGATTGGGAAACCGATCCGCATAAATCCGTGATGCCGCGTAAATAAGAATCATGTCCACAAGTTCAGCATTTTCGTAAACGTGTGCCATTTTTTATTTCGTTTGAGCCACGCAACAGACACCACTATTCACTCACGCGTTACCGACTGACACTGACTGTATACAACTGAATAAAATAATTGTAAAAAAATCGTTCCAAATTCTTTCGCTTTTTTGTTTCCGATGCGATGAACCGATAAGGCGGAGTATATCCGTTGTTGCCAAACACGAGCACATAATATTATTATTGAGACAGGGCGGTACTCAAACTTCTAAAGGGCTATAACTTTGTTACTTTAATTTTACCACAAAAATGTTAAAGGAAAAAAACATTTCTTTTGATCAGATCTACTCACTGTTAAAATAAATGACTCAACTTCGAAGTCACCCTGTATATGTATATATAGTAGTAAATAGCTCCTCGCTCCCTATGTTTAACCCAGTTGTTGCAACAACTTGGCTTTGAAGAAAGTGAAAATTGATAAGTCGGAGAGGGGATAGACAGGTACGGTAGGTCGCTTCTTTCGCTACATATGCACGCTTTGAACTCGTGAGTTTAGTACGCTACGAGAGTACTACGTTGTGTATTCTAAATATGTACATCGAGGAGGACTTCACATAATTAAGATCAAACATCACTTACATGTAAGTTCGTTTGATCATACTATTATTTTGTACGAAATTTAGCACAAAATTTTGTATCGTGACAGATGGCCTTTATACTCGTAGTTATAACGATGACAGTCCTGTTATCTGTCATCAATGAAAGTGAAAAATATTGTTATTTATCTTTATCGGTATCGCTTTTCTATGATTGATGATAACATCTAATAAAAGCACCTTCCGTTTAGATTACTACACTAAAAATAATGCCCATATATTATCCCTTTTTTACAGCATTCCAGCTATAATCCAGGATTTGGCTCACAACCGAAAAAATCTATTCTGAAGAAAACGAACTCTTTCACTTTGAAAGGGTTTTCACATATCAGTCCGGGTAGCACTCCGTATACTACCGTCACTGGAGCAGAAAGTAGAATCAGATCTGCGTTTGAAGCTATTTTTAGGTAACTAATCCAAACTAACATGAAAACTAGAATAAACATAATATGTTGGCTGGTTCTTTATTCAAAAGAAACATGAGTTTGCGTTTGTTGAAAATCATGAGGAATTCAAACAAAGATTCAGGTGTTGCATGTAAGCGCTCATTTATGCACGCGACAACGTGACTCAACATTATTCAACAATAAGGTTATACAGTGAATTCCATATTCCACTGACGTAAGAGCACTACGTTGCCTAGCAACCCGAGTGACGACGCCACGGACGCAGCTGCGGCTTGCCTCGTGGCCATCTGCGTACTCTTTCTAATATTCGAATTGCGCGCTATGGATGTCACTGTAGTTATAGTGAAAATCTTTCAACGTGTACGAGAAAGAGAGAGGGAGAGAGAAACGGAGAAAGAAAGAAAGAAAGAGAGAGAGAAGTGAGCAACACCATGAAATACGCATGTTATAGTCCATTACCGAAACTGTTGACAGCAAGGCCTTGTTGTCACGTGCTCATGTGAAAATTCATCTAAAATGGTGTGGATAAGGTGGGAATGGCCGTTTGAGTGTTATTTTATTATATTTATTAAAATGTATATTTTGCATTTTCAAACCTCCACTCAAAGTTGACGACACAAATTAAATCCTTAATTTAATTGAGATTTGAATATATGCCCATTGAATGAAATGCAAATCCAGCATGCCGCACACAACCAGGTAACACCGACTCCTACAAAGCACGAATACCGCGCTTATAAATACAACGTTGCTAAGTGAATTTTAGGTTTAGACCAATTGGGAAACATGTGGTATATAGAAAAAATAGTACTCTAAACCTAATGCAATCAAAATATAGGTACAGTTTAAAATGCAGAGGTGATCTAATTTACTCCATGATTACATACACAGTCATATATACAGGGTGACTTTGAAGTTGAGTCATTAATTTTCAGATAATGATTGTAGAAGGAAGATAAACCAAAATATGTGTGTAAAAATAAAAAAAAAAAAATGTTTACCTTGTTTTATAAAGTATCCTCCCGACAACTATTTCAGTGCGGACCTGTATTTGATCGTGAGGTCCCCTGTGAGGTCTTAAGTCACCTGATTCACGAGCCCGTTGTACTACATTAACAAAGGCACGAGGGGTTGGTTGCACTCGATTGGGAAACCGATCCGCATAAACATGTGCCATTTTTTATTTCGTTTGAGCCACGCAACAGACACTATTCACACTGACACTGACTGTATGTATAACTGAACTGAATAAAATAATTGTAAAAACATCGTTCCAAATTCTTTCGCTTTTTTGTTTCCGATGCGATGAACCGATAAGGCGGATTATATCCGTTGTTGCCAAACACGAGCACATGATATTATTGAGACAGGGCGGTACTCAAACTTCCAAAGGGCTATAACTTTGTTACTTTAATTTTACCAGAAAAATGGTAAAGGAAAAAAACATTTCTTTTGATCAGATCTACTCACTGTTAAAATAAATGACTCAACATCGAAGTATAAACTGTATAAACTGAAGTAAGTTAGGTGGTACACAAAAATTTTGGTAAACGACTTTTGTTAGTAAAAATATAAGAGGATAGGCAATTGATTGCGAGGATTATAGAAATACCTCACATAGCAACCGACTACAAGTTTCAAAATTAATTGACAAATTTTAAGTATTCCGCAAATATCTCAAAGACTTCCGAAAAAAATAATTTAGGTTTGTGCGTGTAATTTTAAAATAGTCTTGACAATGAAATAATATTAATTTGTGCGTTTAACTACAGTACAGCGTTGAGACTGCGTTATGAATTTTGACATTTTTCAAGCTATATGTATCAAAAGTCAGGCTTTAGCGCTGCACTGGCACTGTTAGACGCACACAATAACAGCAACACTGTGATTTAAAGAAACGTCACTGATATTATCGTTTTATGGTTTACTATCGCTGGATGCAGACGGCAAACAATAGTAAAAATCTTAAAATGGTGACACCTACAGACGCGGCAACAAAGGAGGTGAGTTGGGAACTGTTGAAAATTCATGGATTACGAAAGCTGGATCGCCACGCAATGAATAGGTTACCCCATAAATAGAATAATTTATGTTCTGGATAAAGAAATATAGTGAAAAATGTTTTGATGCACACAATTGCCAGAAACATATATTTTTCACCTTTGTAGCGATATGACAAAGGTATCACTATCTGCCATTTTCGGAATTTTGAGGAAAAAATGTTTGTTCGGTGGTAGCAAAAAAGCAAAAACGGGGACTTAAACGAGTGGTTTTAAATGATCATGTTAAATACGCAATCCATCGGAAGGTGCACTCGTTTTATTTGAGAAGAGAAATACCGACAATAAAAATCTTCAGCACGCTTTGAATACTGACGATAGTTTACCAAAAATATCCCAGAGTGTTTTGCTAAGAACTTTACTAGAAACTAATATCAGATTTTGGAAGGAGAAGATAAATTAACGGAATGGCGCATTGATCGAGAGAGATAACATAGTAACCTGGCGCAGGCAATATCTTAAAACAATACGTAGTATTCGCGTAAACTCGGTGCCAGACACTACGTACTTCGGCGAAGCACATATTTCAAGTTCGAGTTGGCGGCAATTGGCGGGGAAGTATTGTAATCGCGGAAAATTTCGAAATTGAGATATTATCATGTTTTTTAATGTTTCATGCCAGGTACATCACGAAAAAACATATCACTCAGTTCCCGTGGTCTGCCTGTCTGTCTGTCGTCTGTCTGTCCGATAATCCGTGGCCCCTTTATAACTCGGAAAATGATATTCGAAAGTTGATAAAATTTTGACCGCAGTTTTAGAAAATCGGTGCAGTTGCCGCTGTTATCGTCAAAAAAGAAAAAAAAAAGAAATAAAGAAAAGTTTTTTTGGGGGCTCCTGATCACTTTCCAACAATTTTTTTAAGGGGTAGATAATCGGAGGTGGGAGAAGGTTAGGGAAAGGGATGTCTTATTTTTTTCCGTAATACCTCTCATCAAAGCGCGTGAAGTATAGAGTCAATCTACTTGACGCCATTTTTTAAAAGTAGGTTTTGCTTTCAACTTTTTAATTTACAAAGAGCTGCGATGATAAACAGTGTAATAAAAACTTTCTAGGTACAATGGTATGGACATGTTACAAGACTTGATGAAAGAATCTCCTTCGGATTCGGATTCCAAAGTATTTCCTCATTTTGGTAGAGTTTTTCCACTCCATTACTACTCGCTCAAGCACAAATTGATACTGCACTGATCAGACAAAATATGAAGAAGGAGCAGCGAAGTTAGGGAGAAGCGTCTGGGAGATGCCACCGAACGCAAATCGCCGAACTTCGCGTCCTTTGCTTCGGACTATTTTACCGACAATCAGCGAGAAGAACTACGGACTACCACAAAGTGCGAAGGTGGGGCGAAGCCGCTCTCCCACATGCTCCACGAAGTTAGGCGAATACGGAAGGTTCGGCGAAGCTCGTAGTGTCTGGGACCCGCTTTATGGGAAGACAGATTTATTATTTGGATGAGACTTGTTTGAATGAAGGTCCAAATATTGACAAGATCTAAACATCATTTCTCGTAGACAAGCCGTATCGTGATGGATCTAGTACAGATTTTTAATGCCCTCTAGGTGAGGGTCGTCGTTTAATTATCACTCATATTGGTAGACATTCTAGATTTGTTGATGGAGGATTCAGCGTCTTCGAATCACAAAGAACTGGAGACTATCAGGAAGATATGAATGCCCAAGTTTTTGAAGATTGGTTCAAAGCAAAATTAGAACCCGACTGTGATTGTTCTAGATAATGCTTCATATCATAGTTGACGTACAGAAAATCTTCCCACTTTAAGATGGAGAAAGTCAGAAATTTATAAGTGGCTAGTGTCAAAAAACATACCATGCGACCTATCGATGCTCAAACCAGAATTGATGCAAATCGCTCGTCAGCACAAGAGTAGGTAGACTAAATTAGTGGTAGATGACATCTATAGAGAAAAATGATTCATGGTTTTGAGAAGTCCGTACCACTGCGAATTCAACCTTATCGAGTTAATATGGGCTCAAATAAAAAACGAGGTGGCTCGAAAGAATACTACTTCTAAGATGGCGGATGTTCGTATTCTTTTATAAGGCATATAGTCAAAGAAGATGAAAAGTTCTGGCAATTGGACCATTCCATAGAGCGGATAATTGAACCAGTGATAATTAACTTAAATGACGACAAAGATAGCGACAGCACTGGCAGTGATAGTCCCTGCTGGAATAACGGTCAGTCATAAAACAGCAGCGCAGCTGACTACCATTTGTTCAATTGAATATTTATTTATTAATTTATTTATTTCTATTTGCACTTATTTACGCTATATGTTATTCATAGTCGTTTTATATTTGTTTTGTGCGTCTTTCAGTTTCAGAAGTTTTTATTTTTGTGATTTGTGTTTTTAAGTTTTAGAGATTAATCATATTTATTTTTCATTTTGTTGAAACTGAAAGACGGGTGGCGGGAGGGACGGTACTAGATATGCAGCCACCTCCATGTGGTCCTAGGTAGCCTGAACATTTCGTAGCTGAGAGCTGCGTTAACGTTCTGACAGATTAATAAATTTTTTTTAATCAGTTACAGGTCGCTGTTCTAGCAATTTCTGTTTAATGTTGACAAATATTGCAAAATATTGAGGCACATTCTACTTTTTAACCCTTTCCGAAGTAGAAATCGTCGCGGCATTGTGGGCGGGCGGTCTTTATTCACAGCATTCCATTGCTGTCAACAGATTTAGTAATGAACTATAGAAAGAGTGCATCCTATAAGTGTCGTTGTCTAGCTATGAAGTGGGGGAGGGTGCGGAGCGCGGCTGTAACTCCCCCACCGTCGTTGCACGCGTCTCTCTGTCGTACACACTAAAAGTCAAGACCGAAAATGTAAATCAATTTTGCTGTATATCAAACGCTGGCCAGTAACACTGTCGCGCGAGATAAATAGCCTGGTTGCGTGAAAAACTCGCGTGCATAAATGAGCGATAATATTGTATTGAAATAATACTAAAAAATTATGAAGGTTTACACCCTGTGACTCAGAAAGGAAGCCTTAACATACATCCTATGAATGTCAAATACTATAACATTGATAATAATGTTTTAGGAAGTCTGCCCAACTACAAGACGTTGACAATAACAGTAATAATGATAATGACGAAGTTTTGGACAATCCTATAACATCGAAAAAGGTCCAATTGGTAGGTAGTTATTTATATTAATTTAGTGCTCTCATGCTGTTATAGTTATTGTTATTTCTCAGCGTGCCCCATTTTTTTACGGTCAAGTCTGGCAATTTTATGTTCTACTTTGTCTTACTTAAAAATGTTTTTCGCGGGTATCTATCAGACTAGGGATATCACTCTCCTACATCTCCCTTATACATACGTTTTTAGTTGTTTTGTCTCACCTCTTTGAAAATTTGCCCATCAACGTAAGAATAATCCACATTCATGCATGTCACTGTCAGTATGACAACCTGCTGGTCATTGGCATGTGATTTATGTTTATCCGTATTCGTACTCGATATAAAACATAGTGCCTAAAGGTACAAAAATAATGTCGACAATCTGCACTAGAAGTATTTTTGAAAACTGGGTGGTCCCATTTCAGAAAAGCTTTTTAATCAGAACGTATATTTTTAGTGGAAACAATCACCGCTTTTTTCTAATTTCAAGTACATATGATTTGTCATTCCTATTTTTATTACTTTACTCAATAACATAAATTCTGTTTGTCATTTAACTACATATATGTATCCTACCTAACATCAAATTGCATAGGTGGTTAGATGCAGACTGGTTTGAAGTCAGAACTATACACTTGAAAATCAGAAAAAATCTACTATAATGTTACTAAAAAATATACACATGTGTTAGTTAAAATACAACTTTATTCGATAGTATTTTTCTCTATTTTACGCTCCATACGTTGCTAAAGAACTTTATTTTTGAAAGAGGCATAAAAAAGTTAGAAGCAGGGCTAATTTTATAGCGGGAACAACATGTGTGCATCTGAGAACAGCAAGCTTTTAGAACTGCATCCCAGTTCGTATTGTCGCTACTGAACAAACTTTAATGTAGCTTTCGTCCGTCCGACCATAGACCATAGAGAGCCAACCAGTGGTCGATTCTGGTATAATAGATGGCACTTCGTGACCTTATACTTGGTTACCCTATATGAGACCAAGCCTACACCATGCTGAGCAGTAGCCAAATAGCAAGAAACGGCTGTCCATGGTTTGACATCTGAGGTCGGACAAACGATAGCAATATTACTAGTGTGTGCCTCTCTCGCATTCATGTTTTTTTAGAAAACGACAATGTTCGGTGAATGTTTTTGTCTAGTAGCTCCCCGTCAGAATATCCACAATTAATATTAAAAAAATGAATGAAAAAAATAGCTGGTAGTGGATATAGTTGCCCGTTTGGTTCTTGAAAAAGTTTCTATTTAGCATAAATTTGTAGGAGCAGGTGCTGAAACAGGACAAATTATTTCGTTTATAAAATAGTTAACAATTCTTCAAAATGCTGATTTGTTTTATCTGTTCGAAACAATGGACCGTATTTCAAAATTCTGCAGCTATTACCAATAAATGTACCATATCAACGATCGATGCTTTAAGAAAAATGTGTAAACAATTGCGACAACGATACGCTAACGGAGGATGGTGAACTTTATTGTAATATCTATTCTTTTATTGGGCCAAGAAATGAAGTTCCGTGGAAAGTAAAACATCATCCTAAAAGGTTTATTTTTGTGTGTCAAAAATTCAGGAATGAAAGCTAATTTTTAACTATCATTATCATACCCTACCATATCATAAAATATATGTATTACTTAAACCACTGTTGATGCTATTTTGTTCATTTTAGCCAAGCGAACGCGTGTGCGATATGAGTCCCGAAGATCAAACCAAATGGGAAGAGGAGCAAATGCAGCTTCCTGTTGATTTTTCCAGTTGTCAAATAGACCCAGCTCCCTTCCAACTAGTCGAACGAACCTCATTGCTAAAAGTACACTCGCTGTTCTCATTGGTGGGTGTGAATCATGCTTACGTCACCGCTATCGGAAAACTGGTTGGGGTCGTAGGGCTGACAGAGCTTAGGAAAGCTATCGAAGAAGCGAATAGTGGAAATTTGAGTTTCCAGAGTGAAGTAAACAGTGGTGCTGTGAAGTTAAGCAGTACGGATGTCAGGGATTCCATAGAAAATTGTACATCGAACGAGCAAACGATTGATTCAAAATTGTAACGGAGGATCAGTCGTCCAGAATTTACCAGAGCCTGTGATATTTCTAGCAATATAGGTTGTTATTTATCAGATTATTACAAAGGTGTATGTAATGTGTAAAAATTAAATTGATCAATGTATGATACCCTTGATGCTGCATTTTTAGATTTAGTGACAAAATAAGAGATGAGAAAATTGCATTCACCATTATTATCTGATGTTCTAGTTTTAGTATTGCAAAAAGAGAAATTGGCTATGTTCAGAAAGATATTTCAGTCCTCATCATGAGAATGATTTGCATTCATACTTATGTAATAGTTAGGTTGTAGTTAGTCTTGAGAACCATCAAGTAAGTTGAATATTATATTTAAAATATGGATTTATCAATTATACCTGTGTTATGGCAGGAATTCAAGAAATTAAAGAACTCTAACTTAATCATCCATTTTCTATAAGAATAATCTGTTGCAATACATTACGCCTAATTCGAGTGAACATTCCATTGAAAAAAGGTTTTGGAGAGGTAAAACCTAAAGTCACACTAAAAACATTCTCCTCGTCTTCTATTCGGCCTATGGGGCTCAATTTAAATTTAGCTACGATTTTACAGAATAAGACAAAGACAAGCTTATAATGATACTAAAACTATTTTGTAATGACGTTTCTCATTAGTAAAACAAATCTTTTCAACAAACTCAATTATGAGAAACTAGCAAAAACTCGTACATCTATTCATTTTGAGGAAAGTATAAATGACACAAAAACACCAACTAGCTTCTTTTTCATTTTTTTATATGAAAAAAGTTCATTTCTACGCCAAGAGTCTTGGGACAAGCTGACAAAACTATGACTAGTCCAGTTCATAGAGGTTCCGTCGACGGAGAATTCAAAACGGATGAAATTTGGCAAGTCTTCAATTTACTAAAAGCGTCCCACGTAGAACTGCAGCAATCAATTTCTCGAGAAGTTCACATTATACAATTACGAAAACTTGGGATTCAACAAGTGAGGAATTCGGCTAAAATATTTCCAAAGTAGTCGTGGATATCATCTTGCATATTCAATTTTTGGCATTTACCTATGATGATGACGTTGATGATTCTATACAGTTTTCATTTATAACGTGTATAACACCCAAGCTCAAAACGTCCTTAACATACATAAAATTGTATTTAAAAAACCATAAACGTAGGTCCGTAGAAGTCCATATACATTTTTTCTATTTTTCGTACTTGTCGAATGATCCGTAACTGCTTGCTATGCTTAAATCTCCTTTAAGCACTACGCGATTAAATATGGAAGAGTGGGGAGGGAGACGGTGGCAGCATAATTCAGCACTTAAACATCGCTCCTCAGAGAGAGTCTCATGGGTCACGTGTAGCAAGGTAATTTTTACACCAAGACACAGCAATATACCATTTTCTTGGAAAAAATGGCTCCCCTCACCCCCCTACTAAATCGACCTTGCATATATAAGTGAGACCAAAAACAAATATGTTAAAGATATTTTTAAGATGGATGAAATGACATTGGAAGTTTCCAATTTCAAGTAGTAGCTTCCGAACCCAATTTCGTGGATTTACTTTACTGAAGGTACTTAATGCATTCGATCCCGTACCAAATTTGAATTCAATTCGGATGCTTGAATTTTAAAACTTTAGACCCTTTATACAGGATAATTAGAAGCACCCGGAATGGCAAGACGTTTGGAAATATTCAAGGAATACAGAAAGAGTAAAGTAGTAGCTATTTAGTATTTCGCGCTGGCTAATCAATGATGACGTTGAATTTGGCTTTTATCATGACATTGTAAGTTAAATCAAGGTCCGGACATTTTTTTTTTGTTTTTTAAATATGACAGATGTGCATCATCTGCCATTAATTACCAAATTTTTGCATCCGGAGAAATTTTTATATTTTGGCAAGAAAGAAGGCAATAATATTATGGAAGCTGAACCCGAAGGGTCCCCAGGCGACCCCTCTACTGCTTTGAGTGGAGTTGGCGCGGAGTGCAGCGCTACTTTGGAACATATTCCAGAAAACCAAAACGAGATGACGCCAATGATGACAACAGGGATGACACCGATACTGGAGAAGGAAAACGAGAACCAGAGACTTTTGAAGATAATTGCAGACCAAGCAGCCCAGATTCAGAGACTGACTGACTGTGTAGAGTCACTTAATGCCCAGGTTTTTAAGCTAACAAGCATCATTCATAAAACAGTTCCCAATGTTGATTCTTCCAAAACAGCAAAACGTAGACATAACAGCATTACGAGTGACCTACATACTGAGACCGATGAGGACACACAGGGTGATCTTTTCACACCCGTGCGACGTCGCAAAGTGAGACTGCGCAAAACAGAATTTCCTCCGCTACCGACGAAATCCCCAAATAACAAACATTCAGGCAACCTAAAACCGTCTGTGTCTGTACCCTCTACCGCTTCTACTAGTCAGCCAAGCCTTTATCAGTATCCACACCGAGTGCTCCTCCTGATATATCCCAAGTGCAGTCTGATCCATTGGCTGGCTGCAACTCATCTTCCTTGCCATCCAGCGGATCTCTAAACACACAGGCCCAATCGCCTCGCCAGGTGCGTATTACTCCAATCGTGTTGAGAGATGCGACAAAATGGCGCACCTTAAACTATTCCTTTGTAAGTCTTGGTATTCGTATTGAACGAGCAGTCGCCGAAGACGATTATCGCAGGATAATCCGTCTTTTCAAAGAGGAAAACATTCCTCATCACACTTTCCCTTTGCCCACTGAATGCAACATCCATGCGGTTATCAGAGGTATCCCAGCATCAACCACCGAACAGGAGGTCAAAGGTGAGCTAGAACAGAAGGGTTACGCTCCCTTTCACATCATTCGCCTAAAGCGCAACGGCGGCGTGCCCATGCCCTTGATGGTGGTGATCCTGCCTAAGACGGAGAAGTCACAACAAGTGTTCAACGAGCACGAATTGCTGGGGCTCTCTATCAGAGTCGAAGTTCAGAAGAACTCCCGACTCATTGGCAGTGTCACCGCTGCCAGAAGTATGGACACGCACAGTCGTATTGCACTGTGCCGCCAAAATGTCTAAAATGTGCCCAAAACCACATGACACATATGTGCCCTCAAACAGGACAAGAGGTTCGCAGATGTGCGAGCTGTGGGGGGGACCATCCGGCAAATAGTCCGACCTGTAGATTTACTCCTAGGAGAAATCTACAAGTCATCGCACAAAAGCGAGCAAAGTCCTACGCAGACGCAGCAAGAGATGACACCTCAACTGCCCCTGCTGTTTCGAGCTCATCTACGACTACTCAAAATGTGGATCTAACAACAGCGCTCAGGTCCCTACAGCAGATTATTAGTCCCCTGATAAGCGCCACTAAGGCATTGCAGGCGATCTTTCCGCTAAATGGCTAGGTACAATAGCAGACAGCCTGAATTCATCAAAATTCTTTTCTGGAATTGTTTGGGTCTTAGGGATGTCCCCAAAAAACGGGAATTTCATCAAGCTCTTTTGGATGAGAACGTAGATGTAGCTCTGCTGCAGGAAACATTGCTTAATCTGGGAGATCGTCTAGCTTTCCCGAATTATGATGTTATCCGCGCTGATAGATTAACTGGACGTGGTGGCGGTTTGGCAGTGCTAGTAAAACGTGGTATTGACTATTACAGAAGCACAAACGCTAAGATGCAGAGCATCGAGGCAACTTCGGTGGTAGTGAATATGACGGGAGGTATCTCGTTGAAAATCACATCGGTTTATGTCTGATGTGGTGCCAGGCTGCAAGAGACGGATCTGGGAGTCCTGTTTGACTGCTCGGGTCCGCTTATTGTAGCAGCGGACTTTAACTGTAAACATCGAGCATGGCACTCTAGGTTAAATTCCACCAGTGGGATTCGACTTTACAACCATGTGATACGAAACGGCTACCTCATACTCAGCACTGAGGAGCCGACTCACCACCCATTTAATCACCTTCTGGCACCAGATGTCATTGACTTCGCGATATCTAGAAACTGTAGATTCAGTGTCACTTCTCGAATCATGTATGACATTTCGAGCGATCATCTTCCTATCGTACTGGAAGTGGGTAATGAGCAAACCTTGGAAGGGGAAACTCTTCCAAGGAAAAGGGTTGATTGGGAGCTATACAAGTCGCTCCTTAGAGAGTTCCCCAATATCCCGATCATAGATGATGAGAACGATATAGATGCTGCTCAAGCGGAGTGGACAAGTTCCGTTCAGCAAGCTCTGCAGCGTGCAGCTGTACTACCAGTACGACGACACGGCAGACCGTTTCTCCCTGCAGACATTCGTCAGAAAATTTCTGACAAAAGAGCTGCAATTGAACAAGCGAAGAGGTCTTGTCACCCAGATGACATTCACAGAGCAACGAATCTTGTTCATGAAGTGAGAAATGCTCTTCATGAATTCCGTAATGAGCAATGGAGCGACTTTCTGTCGGGGATGCTTGACTCAAGTACTCCTCCCTGGAAAGTTGCAAAGTCGCTCAGAAATGGAAAGCGAGAACAACTCCCGCACCTCCACGGTCCTAGGGGCATAGTCTGTAGGACAGAGGAAAAGGTCGAGGTTTTCGCTGATGCAATGGAAAGTCAGTTCTCTCCCAACTATGACCTTGATAATGACCTCGACGACGAGCAACATATTGTAAGATCCGTCAGGAGATATTTTAGGGCCAACGGCGTCAGTGGCAGTAGTGCCTCCCTTAGTGATTTTTCTTGAGAGGAATCTTCAGAAGATTCCTCAATTGAAGAGCTGCACGGCATATCAGCGGAATCTCCTGAGACTCCGCATTGCACACCAGCAGAGCTCCAAGGTCATATTAAAGACTCAAGGTGCGTAAAGCACCTGGAGAGGATCGAATCACTAATAAGGCGCTGAAGCTACTTTCGCGGGAAGTCCTTAACTTATCTCGTGGCAATAATCAATGCCATGCTAAGGACCCAGCACTTCCCAACGGCGTGGAAGACCGCTGATGTCATAATGATTCCAAAGAAGGTGGGTTTGATATTCCCTCAGGATTACCACCCCATTAGTCTACTGTCAGCTCCTTCTAAGCTCGCTGAAAAGGTGATTCTACGTCACCTTGAAAATTTCTCGGAAGACCACAATGTGATTCCTGACGTGCAATTTGGCTTTCGGTCTGAGCATAGTACGGAGCTACAGGCCATAAGGCTTGTTGAACGAGTAACCAGCGGGTTCACCCGTAACGAAAGTACTGGCATCTTGCTACTGGATCTCTCAAAGGCATTTGACAAGGTGTGGCACAAGGGCCTCCTCTACAAATTGATCCATAAGGGCTTCCCCTTCTGGCTCCTAAAACTTTTGAAATCCTTTCTCGAGGGTAGGAAATTTCGGATCAAAATTAATAACGTTCTGTCGACAACGCGGGCCATTAAAGCCGGTGTCCCTCAGGGTTCGGTTCTTGGACCAGTCCTTTATTCACTTTTTATTCATGACGTCCCTTGCCCCAGCAGCTGTGAAACCTATCTCTATGCTGATGACACTGCCCTGGTGGCCCAGTCGTGCTCTCGTCGTTCACGACAGGCTGCAAAGTGCAGTGGACGAGGTATTGGAATGGGCGAATCGGTGTCTGATCAAAATTAATCATTCGAAAACGCAGGCAATCTAATGTACTAAAAATCATAGCGGCGCCCCGTCTGAGGTTTCAGTGAATGGAGCTCAGGTACCATGGGAAAGCTCTGCTAAGTATCTCGGTGTCACTCTTGACAAGGGGATAACCTGGCAGAAGCACACTGAAGCGTTAAAAACTAAATTCCAAATCTCGTTTCGGCAACTCTACCCTATGCTATGTAGAACATCAAAATTAAGTTTGATCAACAAAGTTCGACTACACAAGATGGTCATTAGACCAGCGATCACTTACGCAAGTGCGGCTTGGTGTTTTCTCGCCAAAACGCATTTGCGTAGCCTGCAGGTTTTGCAGAACAGAACCTTGCGTACAATCACTAACGCCCCATGGTATGTTTCCAACGAGACCCTTCACAGAGACCTTGACATCCCTTACCTAAGGGACTACATCAAACAACAAGCGCAGCTACGTTACAGTCAAGGAGAATCGCATAACAACCCTTTGTTGCGCGAGTCAGTAGCCGACACAGTCGAGCAAGTTCGCAAGCACACAAGGCCGCGACTCGCACTGTGAACAAAATTAAATCGTGCGACTTTAGGTCCAACCAAAATTATAATTTTTCTTCAACAACCAATCCCAAAATTAATTTTAGGATCAATTTAAAATTGCCGAATACTAACCAGCAATGCCAAGGCACCCCTCAAATTGATGCACTTCTTTTTTCTTTGCTCTCCTTCCTTCCTTCCTTCCTTTCTTCTTCCCTTCTTTCTCCCTGACTTTGTTTGGTATCTGGGCAACCAGACCTGACAGACCTACTGACTTACAAGACTTCAACCAAGAGCAAAGGTCCTACGGACCGCTCTGACAGACAATGACGAATAGAAGACAATTTTTTAAATGTGACCGTATACTTTTGGTCCCAGAAACTGATAGAATGGAAATTTTATGTTCGGAAATGACCTTGGTTGAAAATTACTTCGAGATTGAACGTCAGCGACACATCATGAAAAACCTTCGTTTGTAAAGATTTTGGAGATATTTCTGAAGCTAAAACAAAAATAAGAACCCAAATACAGTAGAAACCTCAATTATTATGCTCAGGCTAATCACTGATCACCTTGAAACTGAGTTTTACTATGACCTTGATGGTCAAATCAATATAAAGACTATTTTTTTAATGGTACTCTATGCTTTGATCCCAAAAACAGATAGAACGGAAACTTCATGTTTATCTATGGCCTTCAGTTAAAGTTATTTTAACCATGAGCGTCTTCTCAAGGTCACCGTAAAAAACGTCGTTTGACAAAATTTAAGAGATATTTTAGAAGATATAGCAAAAACTCAAATTCAGCAGGAAAGTAAAGTTTTTCTGCTATTCACCGGTGACCTCATAATGTAATTCTAACAAGTGCTCAAAATTGCCTGCAAAACTTGCCCGATTGTGCACCGTTAGCATAATATGATGGTCATTTTGTGGTATTCCGAACTAATGGGATCCTGAACTAATGGGTACCGGACTACATTCTCGTCACGACAAAAAAAAGATAAGCAGCAGCGACTTTGCACTACCTACAACTAACAATAAAAGTCCAACGAAAGCGGTGGTATGTCGTCCCTCCGATTAGCAAATATTAGTTTATTATTCAGAGTATAACATGGCCGAAATGCGAGTGCAAACATGGAATTGCGATGTTCGCAATAAGAAGCCAAGCGTTGCTGAAGGTGCCTTATTTGGAGTAGTCGCGAGTTGCGGTATCGGTGCAGGTTCTGCACAGATATGGGAAAGATGGAGGTGGAGATGGAGAACCTTAAGAAAAGGAGGCCTATCAGCACAACACCTTTTGGTCAGTTGTACGATTCCAGGTATTCGCCCGTACAGGTAAGCGAAGTATATAACCGAAATATTCCCAGAAAGTATCTATAGATCCGTGGTAAAAAACATAGAGTAACAGATCCATCCATCGTATGCATATAAAACACAAACAAATAGTGCCAGAAGTTCCTATTAGAAATTACTAAACGGCTTCAAAACAGAGATACCAACCCCTCAAGAACGCTACCATTAAGTTGATTTTTCTTAGATTTTAAAACATCATCGCATAATTCAACGAAATTTTGACACCCCAATAATCAGATGGGGAAAACAAATAACTCACTTAGATCCCCTGGGACAGACTAGCAACAACGCAAAATTGCATTTTTTAATAGCTCAACAATATTTTCAAAAGCCTGATCTTTATGTTGCAAGAAAATGGCATCAAGTAGGTTGACTCCGTCCATTCCACGCAATTATATATATGTGTATCATCTGAGTATCTAAAGCAACTTTTTACGCTCTGGCAAATGTATTGTTTGCCGGCTTTGAAAATTTTTGTGCCCTGTCATAAGGCCGTAAAATAGAATAATTATCAGTGAAAAATGCATTTTTTACTTGGGAAATATTCAAATTATGGGCTTTGAATATGCATGATGTGTATCTGAGTCAATTTTCTTACATTCTGGTGAGTTATCTATTTGTCAGCTAAACGGGATATGACTTTGAGTTTAATCTCCTTTTTGAAATACTTCAGGAGAACTTTCGTACGCTCTAGTATTGTTTGCCTAGAGGAAAAGGTAGTAAAAATAGATGAGATTCCTCATTTCACAAAATATGCTCATAATCGTAGAATACTAGCGAACGTCTATTGGTTATTTCACTATTTCATACTTGAATAATTACACTCCTACCGTTGTTACTTTATTTGAGTATTTATATTCAATAAATTATATTGCCCTCGTGGACCCAAGTGTTATATCGCCGGGGCATCAGCTGTCCATGTAAAGAACTGCGTCGCGTAAATCTTCGCCGGAGAGCAAGCACATATGAAGTATTAAAAAATTGCGCTAAGCTAAAAGTTTTTCAAAAATGATCAGGATTCCCGAAACGTCGAAGAAATGTTATTTTAGTTTTTGACCTTTTCGTGCTCTGCCACTGAACCAAGTTTCAAAACCTACAAAGCTTTTTTCCATCCTTGGTATAGTAATAACCTTCTGTAAAAACTTCATCAAAATTCGTACTTTCCAAGTTATATACGGGCCAAGAATTTGCTGACAGATCGACAGTCAGACAGAAGAGAGTGACATGGTTTTTCATGATATACATGTCATATAACATCCAAAAAACATATCTCATTTTCCAAATATTTCGCAATTACAATAGGCCGGTAGGGGTGGGAAGTAAAAGTGTACTCTTCTCTGGTATCGAGTAAATCCACTGTTTTTGAGAAATACACTCTTACTTCAGTACAGTTCTATTAATTTTGACACTGGATCCAGTACACTGGTTCCTTCATTTTGGAAATATAACTCTGATAATAGATTAGCAATTTGCGACCCGGAAAACCCCAACATTTAAATTTTCAAATCACTTCATCAAGATTCAGATCTATCTCGTGCTTTTTGTGGAATTTGGTGTAGGGGAATCCCGTCTGGTATCTTTTGATATAAACTTGTGGCACTGTTTTACTTCCCACGCCTAATGGCTCAAACTTCGTTTTTTGACGTTTCGGAGGTCCTTGATCATTTTTGAAAAAATTTGTACGCTTAAAAATACTTGGCTAGAGAGTTGAGTGGAGAAGATTTATCTCATTTTTTTATGTTAGTACACTTATACGCTTCCAACCTTGCACATATCAGCCATATTTCAGTATATACCAGACGAGGTTGCTGTTAGCAGCCTTGGTAAGTGTTCTGCTGGCCAGGTAAGGTATTACATGTATTTCTGCCACGCCACAACATAGGCTTTCCTAAGCTCTGACCGCGCTACCACTGACGGGGTTAAGTATCTTCCAGATGCTCTACCGGTAGGGCAAGGAAATACTGTCTAAAGGTCTATTCACACTGAGCCGTGACGTGACAGTGTTGTGACGTGACAGTGATTCTCGCTGACGTGAGATCACAGTGTATTCAATTCACACCAGTATTTTTCTCCGAGCTCTGAAAGTGCAGTTGTGATTACGTGAGGTCGAGATGGTAAAATTTTCAGAGAATGAACTTGCAAATATTGCATTAATTCTGGACGTTTTTTATACTCCAACTACCACGAAGACCTAAGGCCTAAACACCCATGGGCACCGTGGTGCTATAGGGGGAAACACAGGGGAAAGGGGGGACGCCACACGGACTCTCGCGAGGGAACACGTGTGCATGCAACATGCCCACATTCTGGCCCCGCCTACGAAATCCGCCGGGTGGTACCTCCGCTTTAGACAGTCAGAGACCGTCCACCACCTACGAAAGATGAAGAAGAAGAAACGAGAAGAAAACGGAAGTTGTATTTTGAATTTGACTGTTTCTACAGCACGCAGCAGAATATTCACGAAATTACATAAAAATACGGCCGTGAAAATCGAAAAATATCGTTCCAAAACAATGCGTTGATCACGGTACGGATCCGTCTAGGGCACTGAGAACACGGCCACTTCCACGTGCCGGTCTAGTGTGAATCAGTTCATCTAAATTCCAGGAAGAATGTTTTTAGTTTCGCCGGGCGGATCACGTGCCGGTCACAGCACTGTCACGTCACGACTGAGTATGAATAGGCCTTTAGGGCTAATTGCATGGCCCTGTTTGACTGTTTTTTTTTCTCAGATGATCTAGATTATGCTGAACATAATCCTTCATGAAGTGATAACGGTGTTTCGTGGGAAGTGGAGAGTCAACCTACTTGACGCCATTTTTTGCATACGTATACGAGAGATTGACATGTTATTCGAGAACACCCAGTATAGAATGATTCCAACAAATTGATAAAACAACCAAGGAATGATTGGAAAACTAACCAGTAATTTCAATGATCACTTAGGCCTCTTGTACACACACTTTTTTTCTGCGTGAAAACCGGTTAATTCGCAGTGGGTAGGCACGGTTGTCAGTGTAAAGGTCTATTCACACTCAGCCGTGACGTGACAGTGCCGTGACGTGCCAGTGATTCTCGCTGACATGAGCTTACAGTGTTTTCAATTCACACAGGTCATTATCTTTCTCCGTGCTCTGACAGCGCCAGTTGTGCTTACGTGAGGTCGAGATGGCAAAATTTTCAGAGGGTGAACTTGCAATTATTGCATAAATTCTGTTTTTTTTATACTCCAACTACCACGAAGGCCTAAGGCCAGAAGAAAACGGAAGTCCTTGTATTTTGAATTTGACTGGTTCTACAGCACAGGATGTACGCGTACAAATTCAATTAGTTTTTCATCATTCATGTTTTTGACCAATTATATCAGAATATTCACGAGATTACATAAAAACAAGGCCGTGAAAATCGAAAAATATCGTTCCAAAACAATGCGATGATCACGGTACGGCGTCGTCGAGGACACTGAGAACACGGCCACTTCCACATGCCGGTCTGGTGTGAATCAATTCATCCATATTCCAGGAAGAATGTTTTTAGTTTCGCCGGGCGGATCACATGCCGGTCACAGCATTGTCACGTCACGGCTGAGTATGAATAGGTCTCTCGCCGTACCTGCCCCTCGCCGTGACTGGTCTGCGCACGGCGTGATTTTCATCAGTGTTGTATCACAGACTATGCGAGCTTGAATTTATCGAATGTCGTCTTCTGCATTCTAAAATAATTGTAAAACTTGTCTCCATCTCCCTCAAGTTGATTCTTGACAAGTGTATGAAATGCGCCAAATTTCTCCCTTTTTTTCTAAAATTGGATGTATCCAATCTTTTTCTTTTTTCTTCTTTTCTGAGTTTTCTATATATATATATATATATATACAGGGTTATCCAAATTAAGTGTCCACCATTGGTAACTTTGTTATTAGTAAAAATACAAAGTTGTTTAAATTAGCAAACTAGTAGCATTTTTAACGCTGGTAAAAATGAGAAATAAAAAAAAAACAATTGAGAGTCGTTATTTTGATTTTTTTCAGTAAAATAACATTTTTTTAAATGGAAACCCCTGTATATTATATTTTTTTCTGTTAAAGCATCAAATTTTAAACAAAAAAGTTCATAATGACTTTTCCGCTAAAGTCAAAAATAAAGTCAAAATAACGATAAATATTTTTAATTATTTGCAGTATTATAATATTAAGACGGCTATGAAAACAACATGGCGTTCGCGATTTGACAGCATTAAAATAAGCGACAAATTGTTAAACTGGACATACTCGCAACTAGAAGGCTTTGGAAAACAATGATAAAATCAAATAATGTCAAACATTAGTGTAAATACTTGTTTATAAGCTTTATTGTGTCATTAATTTAAAGAAAAATGTTCTCCCATGAAGAAAAGTGTGATATGTTAGAATGCTATTTAGTGTGCAGAAAATCCTCCTTGAGAGCAAGAGAATACTACAGTGAATTATATCCCGCTCGCATTCAACCGTATGAACGATATTTTCTGAGACTTTATCGAAAATTTAGGGGCAACGAAAATGTTTTTGCTAAAACAAGGGCAAAAAAGAATTCATAATAAGCGAGGCCACGGAAATTGCAGTTATTGGATATTTTGAAGCTTATCGTGAGAATTCAATAGCAGATATTCTCAAGGACTCTAATTTCAGTTATGGTACTGTTCAAAGGATTTTAAAAAAATACAAATTTATTCCGTATAAGTACCGACCAGTTCAAACGCTTTTGGCAGGGGATCCAGAGAGAAGACTTGTTTTTTGCCATTGGTATCTTAGCTTCTGTCGCCAAAATGTAAATAACTTTCGTTACCTTTTATGGACAGATGAATCAAA